CCTGTGGGCAGCAAAGGGATCTTCCCTGGTCAGTGGAAGAACTCTCTGGGCCGGGTCCTCAGACACTGGTCCTTGGGCTTGTTGGGAGAGGTGATCTGCCACGTGGGTCCCTGCCAGGTCCTACCGGGCGTGCCAGCAATGCCAGGCTTTCACCCTCTTTTGCTGGCCGCTTCTCAGGGCTGGGTCTGTACAGGGAAGCCAAGCGAGGGGTGAGGTAACATGTTCCCCCAGGCAAAGAGCAGGCTCGCTGAAAGAGAGGCACCTGCAACAGTCAGTGTTCCTGGGCCAAGACACAGCCCTTCCTGCCCTTTCCCTGGTGTTTCCTGTGAGCGCCTGCTGAGGCCACTGAAGCATTTACGAAGGGTGCATATTGTGAGGCTCCACGGGGCTCTGTATTCCCATGTTAGTCATACTCAGCCTTCAGCAATTAATTAAAAGTCTTAGTGAATTCTTACCAGCTCACGGGGCATCTGGAAGCACCTGCCCTGGCCGACCAACTGCCCACGGCACACTGCTCTCTGGATGTTCCCGTGTCATTGGGCTTCAAGTTGGTTGCATGCATTCTCAGCTCTCTGATCACGAAAAGTTGTGAATTTGTAGATATTCTTGCAGATTACCACTTATTTGATTAAGGGGTAAAATGATGAACTTACTGAAGACAATGATTCCACAGTAAACAGATAAACCACCATAGAATAAGAGAAAACTCTTGGATATTAAAAATATAATAGGGAATGAGTACTGCAGATGACTGTTAACATTCATGAGAATCCTTTCTGAATTATACAGTTCACAATCATGTTCACATATGACTTTGATAACAAGATTTTAAAGTTGCGAAAGGCACACATCTGACTCATACGTTGCTGGTTGCTGCTCCAGTTTGGAGGAACATCAAAACCACATAACTCCAATCCCTGCCCCTGAGAGAATTTGAATCAGCTCCTCTCCAAGAAGCAGAAATTATAAGTTTGGGAAGTACTGACTCATTGTAAAGTTGGTATTTCTATGACCAGTCTTTACTTCTTCAATGACTGGAAAAAATTTGAGTTGCTGGCAGCACCAAGTTGGCATCTCAGGGTATCTGAGTATTAAAATTAGCATTCATGTAATTAAATGGCATGAGAGCAGCCATGCATAGCAGGTCTCACATGTTGAGACCGCTGCCCAGACAGGCTGGACACTGCAGTGGGCACAGTTCCACTCGGCTTCAGAGAAGCTTCATTCCGGCAAATGAGCACTTTCCCACCTGCTGACAGACACCCTGCAGTTACCGGGGCTGGAATCACAGATCCCAGACAGCCCGGCACCCCGAAACAACCTGAGCCACGCCAGGGCTCTCCTTGTCTTCTCTGAAAACTCCTCCTTTGATCAAGCATTCCCAGAATCTCATTTACAGAAAGAAATGAGTCATGAGGATATGATGTGTCATATTTTAGCTGCTAGTGAATTTCTTGGGCACTTTCCATTTCGTGGCTTAGGACTCAATTTGAAGAAGTAACTGGCTTTCAGTCACTATAAGATGAAGTCAGGTCACGCAGAAATTGAAATGGGAAATGCAGAATGTGCTCTATGGCTTCGAGGAGGGAGGGGGAGTGTCAAAATCCCTGTCGTTGGTGCCCACGTTGGCCAGCTTCTCATCAGCGAAACAAATAATAAATTTGTATAATTTCATATGTCTTCAAATCAACAGACAAATAAAAACCAAGAAGCTTTGATCCCCCCAACACTGAATGGGGTCCACCTGGAAAAATCTGATGACAATGTAATATGCAGTCTATTATCATCCTTCCCCCTAAGGAAGTGGGGTTTGAACCAGATAGGGTGGTGGGCAGAACGGGGCTTTGAAGAGAGCAGACTCCTACTGCTTACAGAAATGGGCAGTTCCTCACTGTCTCAGCCAAGCTCTGCCAAGATCAGAAGATTCTTCTCCTTGGTCAGCAGCCTCCCCACGACTAGGAAGCCCATTTTTTTTTCTGTTGGCATCTTTTCATCAATTGTATTGCCATCTCTTGGTGACAACCACAAACTCTTTTGTCCTTAAAAGCTTAAGCTCTCTGCTGCCTCTATTGCTGTCTCTGTGTGCACTCTGAGAGCCTGACACCCGGTCCCCATCCACCCCTATGCCCTTCTCTCCGACAGGAACTCTCCGCTCCAACTGAGTTGCTGTCTTTCTGGTCTACCACTGACGAGTGGCTGATGCCACTTAAACCTCACAGGCACAAGACCTCCCACTTGGAGGTCCTTCTGAATTCTTCAATCTATTTCCTGCTCTGCATGTTTATAAACTTTAATGCCCATGTTTCCAATTTCACATAGGAATGCTGTCTAACATACAATCAAAATTTGTTGACACAATGATTACACTGCAACTCTGAAAACCAGCCTTGCTGCAGGAAGAACAAGGGCTTGAAGGATTTAGGAGCACTAAGACATGCCGAATGGGTTGCTGGGAGACACCTCATCTTTTATTCAGTGATCTTGGGGTGTTATCTGTGATAGGATTATAACCCTTGTTAAGTCCTACTCTCAAGGCGGACTATTTAGCAGCCATCACAGGTCATGAAGCCAAAATAAATAATAACCAAGTAGAGAGAAAATACAATGGCTTTCAATATCTGTACTACTGGAAGCAGGCCCAAAACTTTTTAAGGACTTGTTCATTGGTATTGAATTCAGCGGCAGCTCTCTTTATCATCACACATTTCTGGGAAGATTTCTAGAGAACACCAGTTTGAATTTCACCCATTCAGAGGCAGGCAATTCTGAGATGCCCCCGCTGGAAAGTGCCAGAGGGAGAAACAAACTCCTTTCAGCTTCCTTTCTCAGGCCAGGATTCATCACAGTCCACATTCTTCAGTGATTGCAAAGAAATCTCTTTCAAAGGACTGAATACATGCTGTCAGGAGAAGGGATTTACATTTTAAATGATGTTTTAAAAAATTTCCATTTAATGACTACAGTCAATTTTTGTTTTTCAGTTCCCAATTATTATTCTCAGCATAACCTCCTTACTCACCATAATTTCTAAGCAAGTGCTTCTACATACATGGGATTTTATTTTTTTGTTAAGGCAATTGAAGGTAAATGCCAGGAATGAATTCAGTAGGGAAAACAACCAAAACTATTCTCTGCTGAATGTGTTAGAAGCGGTCAGTGTGCCCTATTTTGGACTATGTTCTGCCCTACAGGCTTGGATAAGTAGACAGGACCCAAGAACTTGAAGTATTATTTCATCTGACAGGGTTATTTTGTTTCTTTCTAGCTATAACAAAGTTCCAAAGGCAATGCTTTCTAAGAGAATCACAAAAGCTTTACTTGAATCTTCTTCCTGAAAGTCCTCCTTCACCTCAGGATTTGGGGTTAACTCAGATGAGTCAGCTACATACAATGCAACACAGCACAGCACCACGGAAATCACGTTCTACCTTCCTGCAGGTTCCAACAAATTAAGAGTTGCTTTCCAGAAAAACATGGCTGACTACTCGCATTTCCGTAGCCTGGGATTGACCCAATGATCTTCCTCTTCTGTGGGCAAGGCTTTCCACTTTTCAGTTCACTTTCCTCTTCATCCCATTATGCCCAAAACCTATCTATAAAAATGCCCTTCCTTCTGGGCAACCTTCTGTAAACGGTGAGGCAGCAGGGTTTTGTCTTGAGTGGACATCTGTGACTTATCCTCTCCCCAGTCCGTCCCCTCAGTTCTGACGACACTGCTGGAGAACTTTACTTCCGCTCGTGTTAATTTTTATGTAAATTTCTGCCCAGAGAATACATCTCATGTTCCTATGTTCTACTGTTGAGTAATAGAAATGCACAATAATAATAGTGCCTCCTGACTTTCTACCATCACTGCAGCCAAGGTTAAGAATCCTATCAGTTCACCACCACTCCTGTCAATTTAGGATTAAGCTTTCTCCTTTATCTCCACCCATTATCCACCTTCTCTCTTTGTGGGTGTCAGGAAGAATATTTTCCTAGTGTGACCCTCAGCTTTTGGCCCAAATAATAATTGAAAGAACCATCTACATCAACAATGTAAAACAGTGCACCTGGATTCTGGATTCTGTTTGTTAGAAATACTGGTTTTTTACCTCCTCTGTTGCTTTCAAGCTTTTAAAAATCTGCAAGTCTGTATCAGTTCTTTCTGGTTTCACTTGAGATGATTTTTCAGTTCCTGGCCATTCCTTGTCAAGTACAGCCTCCGTTGCTTGCTTGCTTGCTTCCTCCACACACACACACCTCTCTGGGCATCCACCAGTGCCAGAGGTCCTGCTGCCAGGGAGCTGAGAGCGCAGGGCAACTTCAAAGAGTGGTCAGCAGGGCTGACACACATTTACAGACTAACTGGGTGGGAGCCTGGGAGGTAGTAGAAACGGTCACTTCCACCTGGCTCCTGGAGCTGCATCGGCTCAGTGTTTAGGAATAAACAACAAATGGTGGTATATTTCCTTAAATCACTATTTGTTGGAGGAGTGTTTGCGCTGTACTGTGTTTCAGATGAAGAGACCAAAGAGATATGACAACCAAATGCAATGCTTATGCCTGGATTAAAAATAAAATAGTAGCTATCAAACAGGCACAAGCGGGGAGATTCTAATCCAGGCTGTGTATTGGGTAACAGTGCTGGGCCAGTATTAAATGTCTTGAATGTGGTCACTGTTTTGTGGTTATAAGAATGCCTTTGCTTGGAAATGCTACATATAAACTGTCATAATGTAGTTTACTCTCAGGGGTTCAGAAAAAATATATATATTTATAGAGAGAAATACATGCACACTCAGAGTAGCGCAGAAATGTGGCAAAATGTTAAAAACTGGAAAACCTAGGCAATAGGGATATGGATGTTCATTATATTATTCTTGCATTTTTTTCCTGTGCTTTGAAATTTTTCAATCTAAAAAGTTGGGAAAAGAAAAAGAATAACAAACAAAATACTTTAAAACTACCTTGAGTGGTTTGGGGGGAAAAAAGCCAGAGAAAAAGAATTCACAAAGCAGTTCTGAAACCAAACACAAATACTTTTTATTTATGGGCTATCATCTTACATCAATTCCGTTAAAACCTAAACCAGTTTGCTGTACTCAAGTTAGGTGGCATAACAGTATCTGATTAGGCTGGGAGTCACAGGACTTGCACACGTGTGTGGATGTGATGCAAATACTGACGACACGAAGCGTTCACAGTTACAGGTTAGCTGCTGTTTGTTTAACAGTAACCCCCCGAAGGAAATTATTTTATGAAAAAAGCAACCCACGTTTTGGTCTCATTTACAGACATCCAACATTGTAGTTGGGCGATGAATTCTATACATTTATTATACAACGTAACACATTAAGGAATAAAAGATAAGGCTTACAGAGGTATTTTAGCAGTTGTAAGAATAAAAACCAAGGGCACAAACAAACTTTTAAAGCTTTCTGTATAAACTTCAAAAGCACTGTTAAAATGGAGACTGAGAGGCAACAGAAATCTGCTGTTAAACCAGGAGGTTTGTCTAGTCAGATTTATGAAAAACTTAATTCAGAGTTCATGCTTCAAAACAGCTGCAAGTAACATTACAGTGGATGTTTATGGCAAACGAAATCATGAAGTTTCTGACCTACCGCAGCAGTAAACGTCTCCGAGTCGTATTCCCTTACGACGGAGTATTGCAACGTGGAGCTCAGAACACAATGGACAGGGAGGAAGGGTGTCGGCTTGGGCCATGAAGAAAACCAGAAGAAGGCACCCTGATTTATTTAACATTAGCCAGTAATAAGTGCTTGATGATTGCTCAGTGTCACGTAACTGAGGGACATTTTAGAGAAAAGGTATCTTATTATCTGATCCCTTTCCCGCCCCTTAAAAATAACTGCATAAAATCAAGAAAACCAAGGGCAGGCACTCTGCCGTCAGAGGTTTATTTTTCAAGGGAGTTTAAAGATTATTTGGAGTTTTCTACATATGCAAGATAATCTCTTTAGAATACTTTCATAGAACACCTCATGAAGTAGTTAACTTGGGTTGTCCCCCCATCATCAAATGGTCACTGTGGACGAAATGTAACGTCTCCCCTGTAACAGTCCTTTATTTTAGGATTAACTGTGCTTAGTGTTTAAAAGTCTCTAGTCTCTAACAATAACTTAAAATAATTTAATCTATGATTTATATTTATATATTCACTTCTGATTTATAGTTGACCAAATTTCAGAACTGTTGACTTCACATTATGACTATTTTTTTAAACTTCAAGGGATATCTCTGAAATGAATCAAGTTCTCCACAGACCTGAACCCGCGGCCATCGCCGCTGGCAGGGCGCCGCCGTGGGAGCGGAGCCCCTTCCCACACGCCGGTCTCCAGGGCGACGCCTGCCACGAACTCTCCTGTTCTTTTCAGGTATTAACGTGCGCAAACTGGTATGAACTTACAAGGGAAAAGTGAGTCTACAATCCCGAAACAAGGAATGACTGAGTATGCTTAATCACTAGAGTTTTTCAAACTTCCGGTTTACTTCACAGCAAACCAAACCTTTCTACTTGGTAGAAAAAGGAAGTAATTCTACCAGACCATGATTTAATATGTGTGCACACGCTGTATATACATACAAAATTTCTAGTTTTGGTGGTTCGGTGACAGGAAAAAAAAATGAAAATCTGAACACTGCTTGCAAAAAAACTGTGAAATAGTGGTCAAGAGTAGCTGTGTGCTTTGCTCATTTAATGGCATTTAAAGGTTCACATTTATTCCAGATTTTCAAGCCAGATTTTGAAATGATCCGAACCTCTTTCAGCTGTTACTCGTTCAATCACGATCTTGCTCACAGCAGTAGCACTCACTTAACTCAAACGCCCCGGGAGCTTTTTACTCGGTTGAAATCATCAGACTTTTGTATTTTCACAAAACTTTAGGGGCTAAGTTAGTCATTCAATAGCACCAGATAGTTGAGGGGAAAAAAATGTCATCTATACATTTCCTAAAAATAGTAAGGCAAGGGGAGGGAAAAAAAAAAGACATAAAATACAAACCTAAAAATCCTGTCCTGTTTTCTCATCCACATAAATAAAGGCTATCACCTCTGTGTACAAATCACTCAGGTAACGTTGAGTGCTCTCCAGGAAAGGTCCTACTATGTGACAGGGTTAGCACAATGCTGGTGGTTTCGTGTCCACTGCCTGCAGAGGACATTCTGCCAGGGAAAAGCCTAGCGTGAAAGAAACAAAAAGGAAAACAAAACAAAACAAAACACCTCTCACTTATAATAGAGCTCTTTTTCCAAAAAACTAAAAAATTAGATACCATGAAAGCTTAACTAAAACTTCAAGCCACAACTAAAATTGCTCTGCAATTATAAAATGCCAGCAAACCACTGGGTTTCCATGGAGGAGGCAAAACAAATTTTACTCAGAATGGCAGAGAATGCATCAGCAGACCAAATACCGACAAAAAGAATGCAAAAGAGAAAGAAAAACCACTGAAGAAAGTTTGTAAGAGTTTATAACCATTCCATTTAAAAAAATGGTGCAAATTTAGTTTGTTCATTTGTACCTATATTCAAATTACTACAGCTTTTTAACACTAAAAAAGAAAAACCTATACCTTGCACACTGGAAATGACTGGTGACATAGTGCATGTCTATATGTTCAAATAATGATCAGTCTCATCATTTAAAATGCTCACATTCAGTAAACCAAATCATATTTGGCATATGCCTCCGCAAAGTTACAACTCCCACCCTCTTCCAAAAATTGGCCTCTTGAACAATAAGGTGAATCCTGGCAACATTTACTTATGGTTAACAGTTGTTCTGTCTTGTTTTCTGAAATGCTACATTTGAGACCAAATAAAGTATAATTGGTTCATTTGAAAAAAGGGACTAGAAATATGCCACAAAAATTATTTTTACAATGCATTTTTGCAGAAATAATCTCTAGGTGAAGCTTTTTCTTTTTATACACATATACAAAATTTAAACAGCAATATACACATAATCACAGTGAGGACGTTGGCAAATTCACCAATCTGTAGTGTAAATACAAACTGCAAAGCAGCCTTCCAAGAGAACAATGCTACACAGCAGGCAGAGCTGGCCCATTCAATAGCAAACACCAAAAACGTCCCTGCAAAAGGGAGACAGTGCAAGAAAAGCAGCATGCGCTTTGATACAAACAGCAATTTATGGCTAATGGTTGACATAACTGTGGTAACAGTGACTCTCGCGCTGCTATGCATCAAGTCCTAGGACATCTGTTTGTCTTTATACCACTCCACAAACTCGTCCAACAACACCGGCCCTGAAGAGAGAGAGAGAGAGAGAGAAAAAACAACACGGCTCTGAGGCTTTTCGCAATGAGAAGGATGGGCAAATGCGTAGCGGTGGGGAAGGGGGAGGGGACACCAGCGCCGGTACTTACATGCGCCGTCTTCGTCATAGTTGCTGAGGTCAAGGTTAATTGTTCTGCTAAACTCTAGCACATTGCACCACTGGTCTTTGTTAATAACTTTGTATTTTGATTGCTGATGGAGGGAAAAGTAGTATGAATTACTGACACAATTAACAAATGGGACTGTTTCAATTGCTGTGTGAATCAACTCAACACAGTTCATAAAGGGTAACTCTTTCCATTTGGTATGTCAGGCACCAGTCTAGGACGACAGCAAGAGAGAGCAGGAGTAGAGCTTAAGATGACGATTTTCACTACAACTATATTACAGGGGCCCAACACAAACTGCTAAGCACATAAAAGAAACACAATTTTGTATCCCTAGAGGTGTCATTTCCAGGATACAGGAGCCCATCTATAGAAGGTGGGGATACTATGTACTTCATAGAGGTGCTGCAAGGATTAAGAGACAATTCGTGCAATTTATGTAAAGTTCTTCATCCCTGCTTGGCGCACAGAAAGTGCTAGGCGAAGAGCAGCTCCCAAGGACACGCCCTGACGGGAGCGGGGCACTCTCTGTCACACTGTAGGCCGAGGGCAGCGGCGACTGGGGAAGGACTGACTACGCGCTGCAGCCAGTCTCAGACTTGGCGCTCCAGCCACTGAAGAAACGGCTGCTGTAATAAAGTCAGAACTGGGATCTGATTCTAAGAGTAATCAGAAGAGCCATGGGGTAGTTTTCTATTCCTTAGATGAGGAAATATGCCACATGTGTACTTTAAAATACGGTATTCTTGTACAAAGATTTGAAAATAAAAGTCAGGCCCAACCATGTGAAGTCCTAACCACTGATACCAGAAACACGGGAGAGCAATACAAGCACACACGAAAGACAAGCGAGTTGAGCCTGTGGTTTTGAGGATGCAAACACAAGAAAAGCTAAAAATGAAAGAATTACTGTCCCCTTTTAAAAGGAAATGAAAACTAATAAGAAAGAGAACAAAACTACAGGTTTAACGTTCTAAGCAACTAAAAGCAAAAGCCAGCCAGTGGAGCGGCCGGTGGGGCTCCTGGAATCGCGCAGTCGCACTGGCTGCGGTGAGGGAGGTCGTCTGGCCTCTGAACCTTTCCCCCTTGGGCTCAAAGTCTGCTACAGTCTGAGAACAGGAACCTGTCTCTACGCATTTTCCAAATAAAGTTAACATTTCAGGGAGCTATCAGAGAAACAAGAACAGATCATTTGAGATGTGAACTGTCACGTAAACAAAGACTCCTTATATTAAAGCTAGTTTTTATAACTTCCTTGAAGAGTTCCAGTTAGTAATGTGACAAGCAATTTTTAATAATAGTCCTTAAAGAATCTTATCAGTTGGAAGTTTTTCCAGACAATTACGTAAAGTAAATTGTAAGAAAGATTATTTCAAGAATGAAGCTGGAGTCAGGATAAGGCTCAGGATTTCCTCAAAGACAGAGCACCCTCATCCTTTTAAGCAAAGGATGTTTTTTAAGGGGTCTGGGGCAAATCAAAAAGAAGAGGGGGGTTGGGGCTGGAGAGCAAGATGATACCTGTATGTGGCGACCCCAGTAAGTCAGACTTACACCTCTGGTCCTTCCAACTCCCACGGTATCACGCTCTGTCAGAACCAGCTCCTCCTTATCATCAGCAGCTCGGAGTTTTTTTATCATCAGTACTTAAACTAACAATGATGTGGTGAAGTGCGGGATTACTGCTGGTACCAATGTGAAGAAAATTTAAACTGAAGATCTGTGTCAGTTTGCCTAACGCTTAGATTGATTCAAGGTCTCCAAGCTACTTGGAGATAAGAGTAAAGGCAACGACATAACACACTTCTTTTAGTAAGAAAGAAGGCCAATGGCTATTTTTGAATCTTTGCTTAAGGAAAAGTGGAAATTCACTGAAAGCCATGAAGGAAAGCGAACCTTGCTTCACTGAAGGAGGGGAAAGGACAGAACAGTGGCTGTCTCTGATGCGCTTGCATGGGAGCGAGGAGACACGCTGTCACATGCACCCGCAGGCACCCGCAGAGAAAACGGGGAGCTGCGGACGGACGGCAACTATGTCACCGTGGTTTCTACAGACAGAGAAGCGTGACACACAGAAAATTACAGGCAACGGTTAAATAAAGTATACTTGGTAGTTCTAAGCAAGCAAAAACACATTCGATAAAATAACAATTTGGTACCTCTAAGAATTGGTGAAAAACTGGAAAAAGGGGCCAGATTTTTCCTAATAACAGTCCCAACATGCACTTGGCAGTGTTTATGTCTAGGCTGCGCTGGTCCTTTTCCTGTTCAACAAACAAAAACAAGGATGAGCCAGATGCCCCCAAATCATAAAATTCAATAATCCAAATTTCTATTTCACATCAACAAGACATTTAGTGAACAGCTCATTGATTATTTATTGAACCCCACAGACCCCGGGATCATGACCACGGTGGGGGAGGGGAGGTGGTCAAACACAATGCAAGGCTCGATCACTCCGGTACTAGATAAACATACCGAGAGAAGGATTCATGTCAACTGGATGGCCACCCTAATGCAAAATCAATTAGTTATGTAGCAGCAGTATCTACGGTTATTTCATGGGATAAATAAAAATCCGTAACTCAAACCCTTGCTGTTTGGCATTTATGATAATTATCCAAATCACAATTGCTCACCCCAAAGCCCATAATTTAATTAAACGAAGTTTAACAGTTTTGATTTCCATGCTTAGGAATCAATTCAGCTCGCTATAAATGCTGGGGTTCTGGAGGTTCTCTCCGAGTAAGTGGGTGTATTTATCTACCTTTCATCCACCTACCCTGGGAGAAAGTTGCCTATTACAGTTCTTCTTACCTTGGATTTTCAGGGATGTGAAATCTCCTAGCAGAATACCCCTAACTAGTAACCAAGTGAAAGACATTTCACAAAGAAACCAGAAAAAGGAGTGCATAAACCTGAAAAGGGCAGATTAAATTTATTCCACTCATATTTGTGATTAAGGATCCTAATTGCTCATTCTTTACCTTCTTATAAATCTCTGTTCCAGAACTGCAAGTGGAGAGTTTCTATGAAAGGACACAGAGGACCTGGTGCCACAAGTGGCGACCTCACACACACCAGAAGCTAGCCTCCACGTGGTGTCCTGACTCCAGTGGAAATTCGCAAAAGTACTTTCCTACAATGGAGGGGAGGTTCCCAGCCCTCCCGTTTGTGGTGGAATCTGGTGTTTGACCACCATCAGCAACCTATGCAGCCAGACCTATCTCCCGATAGAAGACATTATTACCTCGGTGCAGTGCTCTTCAGTACCTGAAGAATTTCCGGCCTTGAAACTGAATTTAAAAGTGAAGGACTTAAACAATACAGCAAATGTAAGGGCCTCAACTCAACAACAGCAAACAAGGTAGATGAAGATACACAAAGAGGTGGGACAGGCCTTTGTTTCCAGTCATAAAACATAACAACCGGCCACGACCCGGCCAGGTCAGGTGGCTCCACCCACCCTTCTCCGTTACAGGACGCACCACTAAGTCTGGTGACCGCGGGGTCACCCCAAATCCACGGTTCAATACAAACCAGCGGGGCCTCCTTCCCACTGCATTCTCTGCCTGACCCTTGGCCGTGTACAGCACCCTGCTCGGGCCGTCGCAGTCCCGATGAAGAGCGGACAAGAGAAAAGGTGTTCTAGAGATTGCTCACCTTCTGCCAACCAAGCCTCATCAGTCTGCTCCATTTCAAGGGCTTCTACCGTGATGCACCGGACAACAACACAGAAAACCTCCTCCTGCCCTCTAACACAGGTGCGGGCAGATGGCAACAGCACACTACACCGTCAAGCCATCCACAAGAAGAATGAGTGAGCTGTTGGAAACACACGTGGCACCACAGCACCGGCCCAAAGGTCACCTGCTGAACAGCCAACGCAGCATGGCGCTGACAACACTGGCACTTGGGGAAAGCTTTCCCTTGGAGAAGTTTGTAGGCATTCGCTAACCCTAAATCACTGGTTAAATCACCATGATGTGTACTGTGCCTTTTCCCAACATCATCAATGCCTATGTCCCCATCACAGTGGACATACACTACGGTGACAAAAAGAAAACAAAAGATACGAAAGACCTGGACAAGACTCTTGGCAACAACATAATCATCTGACAAACATGATCATGAAGGGTTTTGAGGCATGTGTCTGGTTGGCAGCGATGCCCGAACAGGGAGGAAAGGCACCAGACTCATGGGGCCGGAGGCTGAACGTCACTCACTCACTCCCTCACCCTGCAAGGGTGCCAGCGGCAGCTAGCGACCACTAACGCCATCTTCTGCCTCGCAAACGAGAGAAAGACACTGTGGACACACTCGAGATCTGAACGGTGACATCTTGCTGATCACCACCACTGCCTGTTGGTCAATTTGAGGCTACGTGCAAATGACCACAACTGGAAACACTCGGAATTCCTAAAGATTAACACAGTCAAGAGATCCCACAACCAATTATCTGCCGAACATCAAAATGGAGACACGCGCGGGGGATTCTCTGACAGCAACGACCCCAACGCATTCTCTGCCAAGGGGTTCCCGATTACAAGTGAGATGAACCTCCCGGGATGCCATGGGGCAGGGCATTTTTTAAAAACACAATAATCACCTTAACTAATTCAAAGAGTACAGCAAAGACATCCAGAAGCTCCTCACAAGAAATTAAAATGGTGCACTATGAACACTGCCCAGGGGCCTCCACCACGGAGCCAGGGCAGACTCCTGCGTGCCCTGGTCATCAGCATCTGAGCAGAGAGAACCCTGAGGAGGCCCATCAAGGCTAAAGGAGAAATGGAACTTTCCACCCTGCCCACCTCTTGACCTCACATGTGCTGGTATGTATTTAATAAATTTTAATTTTCAAAGAAAAACTTTAAATTGTGTACTTTTCAAATAACAAAAAACTGAACAGGGTCCATACACCAAAGATACACCAACCCCCTTCAATATACAAATGGATTCTGTCTTGTCTTCCTTAATCACAGATTAAACAGAGTAGTTACAGATGAGGTCAGGCCTCTTAGTGATATAGACACAAAACCAAAGAATCCCACTGTGACTATTCTAAGAAGTTGTGTTTTATATATGGAATAAATGCACTCCTCCAGCTAAAGACTAGTAACAGCTAATGTACAGAATAAAGGCTTTTTACTAAGGTCTGATTCAGAGTTCTAATATGAAAAAAAATGACTGCCTTTGTTTATCTAAGACTGTTCCAGTATAAGTTTTTGTATGATATGTGAAAATTAAGCATTTTTTCCCTTAAATGGCACAAGTGACTTAAAAACAATAATGGAAACAAATATATACTGTATACATGCAAATATGATATTGTAAAAATGAATCCTCAACCATCTATACATCCTGATATGCCCTTCAGAGTCTCCCAGCAATTTCAGATGACCTATTTCCAATTTTCACAAAGTTTGATAGCTTAGAAGAGGGGTGTCAAACTCATTGTCACCGGGGGCCACATCAGCCTCATGGTTGCCTTCAAAGGGCTGCATGTAACTCTAGGACTGTATGAATGTAACTACTCCTTAACTAGGGGCAAGGAGCTCGGCACTGCCGACCCATAGAAACAAGGTGCCGGCTGAATAAAACAAGGTGGAGGGCCGGATTCGGCCTGCAGGCCTTATGTTTGCCACCTGTGGCTTAAAATGTGTATGTTAACAGGCAAACCTTTAATTATTAAAATTATAAAGAAAAACATCTTCAAAAGTAAAAGAAATTCCCAAGATTTTCAAGAACTAGTTGGACTGAAAAAACATGTAAGTGACCATGATTCACAAACATAAATGGTCACCATCAAAAGGACTAAATTTAAGACCCACGACATATATCATAGAATTACATTTGAGACCAGAGAGATTACAAAAAATAAAGAGAAAATGCAGTCCTACCTAACACAGCTACCTAAGTAAACAAAAGCAAGGTAAAAAGAGAACTCTGTCTTGAACCTTAAATAATGTGACAATTTATAAAACTGAAAATACAGCAAATCAGTTTTTTGAATGGGAGATTTTTTTCCTTTTAATACATATTTTTAAAAGTCATAAAACCCGACAGTGTCCTCCAGCTGGGAAAAATGAATCTAAATAATTATGCTCTTTGAACTTACTCAGCATTATTTTACAGATCACAATGTTTGCAAGGTAACTAAGGTTAATTATGAACATTTCTTTAATAAAAGAAAAACAATCTTCAAATGATGAGGTTTCTCCTCATCATTTTATTTGGTACAGATTCTACTACTAAGTATTAATCTTGGAAAGTAAGGAGGTTCACAGACACCTAAGTAATGTCAATGAATCATAATTCAACACTATTTCTAATTCTATGGTTTACTTTTATTGAGAACTGAGAATTAATCTCAGCCAGAAATTGTTCTAAGTACCTTATACTTAAATTCATTTAATACAACAACTCATTTAAGATAGGTATTATTATTACCCCCAATTTATAAATAAGAAAACTGTGGCAAAGGGAGTTAAAAACGATAGTCGAGAAGTTGGAGAGCTGGGACTAGAATGGGGAAGTCCGATTCCAAATCCGAGCTCTTCACTGTGTGTTGTCTCACTTCCCTGAGAAGTAATCAAGGAAGAGAGATTTATTTATTATTTTTTAAAGATGTTATTTCTTTTTAGAGTGAGGGGAAGGGAAGGAGAGAGAGGGAGAGAAACATTGATTGGTTGCCTCTTGTACGTGCCCTAACCGGGGTCCAAACCCGCAAACCAGGCACGTGCCCTGACCAGGAATCAAACCGGCGACCTTTCACTAGACGGCACAACGCCAAACCAACAGAGCCACACTGGTCAGGGCAGGGAGAGAGATGTAAATATAAACTGACACACAGTCCCATCAGCTTTATAAGTAACTGCTGAGTAAATCTGTGTCTGTGATAACCAAAGAGCAATTTTTTTTAACTGACGTATAACTGACATACAGTATTATATTAGTTTCAGGTGTACAACATGGTGATTCAATATTTATATACGTTACAAACAAAGAGTAATCTTAAGTAAGCTGACAAGGTTTTCAAGGATAAGAGACGTGGGATTAGCTGTCTCATCATCTTCCTACTCTTGTCCTCACCTAGACCTACCTTCTCTTTTCTTTGTAATTTACAATGAAAATATGAGAAAAAAGAGAGGTCTATGTGTGGTGTGTTGGGGGAAGTTGTATAAGAAGGAAACAAATATACCGACAAATATAGTAAAGAAGCAAGACTCGAGTTAGAAAAGGACATGAATCAAAATGGTCA